AAACCGGGCTAGCTGGTTAGCTCTAAGTAAAAATAAAGGAGCTCATTCAAAATTGCGAAGCTCTTCATGTTTCTCAATTGCGCAGAGCTCAATGAGCAACTCAAGCGCGTGACAGCCACTAATGGAATTTTTACCCGTCCGGTTCAAAGAACAAAACAAGCAGTGCATTTAATGATGGTGCAGAGTATTATTTTTGCTAATAGAACTGTTATATTTGTTGCTGTTTTTTTATCACTTTTATCGTTTTTATAAATATTCTTTTTTATTTTACACGATCCGTCACTCACATCTACTTGGTACCGATCCTAGCACGGCTGTCATTCGATTCATTTCCTCACATCCATCATCAACGATGGTCTTCCAGCTTTTAAGTATGGATTCTGCTGCTGGTTAAGTGTTTTCGTTTCGTAATGAATTTCGTTGAATGCTGGCTGAGTCGATCCTCCCTGGAGTCTTAGGATAGTTGGGCTAGAGCGTTCTCAGACTGATTGCGGAAAGCGTACTCATCACGGACAAGTCTGTCACAAATTTTCCTACCCAGGAGGGATGAGAGCTTCGGTGACCACGGAACGAGCCCAGACCAGTACCGTATTCGTGATGGGCGGCACCACTACTTCTGTGCTACCTGTTTCCTCTTATTTCTATTGTTATTAGTTTTTAACTTCTTTATTTACCAGATGTTTCATTTTCTTCTGGACTTTATAACAATACGGAGCTGGATGAGGTCGGAAATATTCACGTAAATTATGTTTATTCCTATATAATATACTTGTTTTCTATCACGAGATAAACAGGGATAAAGCTCTCAGCATTGATCAAACCTTGAGGGATGCGCCATGCATTCGACTTCATTAAGCATCGTTTGAAGGTTATTGAATGTATATCTGGCCTTTACAATGACTCGCGGTGGCCTACCGATGTATCATGCCAGTACTTCTATCCTACCGGACAAGCCTGGTACTTATTTGCCGACCCCGGAGCGATGGAAGGCTTGGTGGGCCATAGGCGCACGGATCGATTCCACGTGTGTGTTGCAGGGCGCCTACGGCCACTGCGCCACATGCGCACTCCTATCACCAGAAGGGAAACAAAAAAAGGGTACTAATACCTTGTGTGATTAAATAAAACTGCTAGGAATAACACTCGTTTTTATTCGTATTAATAAAATCATCTAGTTAATAAACATTTTGTGATTTTAATGAGAAAGGAGGGAAACGAAAACTAAAGTGACTTCAAAAGAGATTTTTAGAAGCTAAGCTTTGAAACTAAGTGAACGATTATTAAATAGACCAATCTATTAGCTTATTACTGGTTTAAGTGTAAGTTAAATCAAAAAATGAATATATGAAGGAGTAGAATAATGCATGAATCCAATAGTCACCAAGTTAAGGGACTACACGAGAATGATTGAATGAAAGAATGAATGAATGATTGAATCAACGAATGAATGAGTGAATGATTAGCTACTGATAACAATGCACACATGGTCATTCTTTGTATTGCTGCATGAAGTGACGAATGATTGACAAATTGCTGACAAACTAATATTTAATCGGGCAATAGAAATTCTAAGCAATGGATGCTTTCGTTTTCGACGAGAATTGTTTCTCTCTCTAAGGAATAATTTCTTATATATTTCTCTAGCCGCGTGTAGTCCTCGCAGTTCACACAAGGTCTTTGGTTTGATCCCGAATCTGTCTGTGAGGATGAAGGTGTTGGCTTGGTGTACCAGCCGCCTATCGTTACCACTCGCTAAACCAGCTATCACATCTGTAGAAATCGCACTGATATGATGCACTATCGCTACCATTTCGTTATCGATAACAATTTTTGTCATCCTATAGTGAAAATTGTCTCCGATTTGTTCAGAGTTAATCCAGATTTTGCGTTTGGTTGTTTTCTGTTGATGTTGAGAATAACTGGGTGTCGCTATGACAACGTGAAATCTGCTTAATCTGAGCGATTCATACCATTCTCGTTTTTCAAATCCGTAATGATGCATTGATGTGCGACAAAGAAAATCACTGAGAAACCTGAAGAAAACGAAAGCGAAAGGATTTAATCCAGTTGGCCTAACCACTCAACTGTTCTTCTATTCAGTTTTCCATGTTGGACCACGTTTTTCTTTTGCCTTGAGAATCCTAATTTCTACGACGATGTCAGATTACCGCTTTTCTTCTGTTTCATCTTCATTTTTCTGACCTAGTGTGGGTATGCTCCATTACGCTTTTCATTTCCTAAATGATAATGTGCAATTCATTAAGTTTATCTCTTTCGTTTTCTCTCTATTCTTTTTTTCTAAGTCGTTCATACTCATTTGAATGAGCCGCTGACCAGCAGCAACAAACCAGCCCACTACTGGATATTCGGCGGCCACACCTCAACAATAGGATAGCAGCAGAGGCTCCTTCGCTTCTGTTATTTGTTCGCGTTATTTTTTCTTTTTTGCTGTTTTTTTGCTTTTCTCCCATCATATGCGAATGATTAAGGAAAGTGTTCTTTCTATTCTCTTGAGAGATTATGTTTTCATCTGATGACACTCATCATCTGTTTATATTTTGGATGACTTGTGCCGAAATGTGCTTCAGCTGTTTCATGCGACTACTGGATAGAAAATGAACGAAATATGTCAGTATTCAAACCAATAAATAGTTTTTTTGTCTATTGATGTAAAACGAACTCGCGTTTCGTAGAAAGCAGTTCAAGTTCGTAATAAAGATTCTTATTCCATGACATCAATACCTATGATTCAGATTCGCGTAGAGAAACCTGTAGAAGAGTTTTTGGATAGGGTTTCATTACATGATTGTCGTCTCGAGGCAAAACTCCTGACTAACCTAACCAATCACTCGATGAAGTTCATACGAGAACGCGTGATAGCATTCACGGGAAAAGAATAGGAATGCAAACAAAACGTTGTTGGCTCAGTGCTGACCGGTCCCTGTGAAGCTCTTGAACTTTTTCTTTATGAATGATAGATTGCATGAAAAGGGGTTTAGATGGTTGGAGGTCACCAATCAAAAGGATTCGTTCTTTATACAAAATTGTCATACTCTTAAAAATAACAACAGAGTCTTTGTGAAACTTTTGTTTCTAACTGACTTAACTTTTGTTAACTTGTCTTGAAGCTTTTATAGAAATTACTCATCGTACAGTATTGCATCAAGCCCGTCTCCACACAGTAAGATCGTACTGTACTCATGCCGCATCAGAGGTTGTCAGTAACGGCACCTGCCTCTGCCAGATGCAGTAAACTCTTGTCATTCCAAAATTTGAATTGATCATCCAACCAACTGCTGAGAGTGTGGTGACGAGCCATGTGTCATTTTTTTTAATATTTGAACACCATATTCGTTTTTTCTTACTTTTAATACACCTCCTTTCTTGGAAAAGAATGTGAACTTGGTAATGTATCTCTAGGAACTTAAACCCCCAACAGTTTACGGCCTCATCGTGGCTGGTAGGTCTTTTTGGGTGTCGGGTAGCGATGTACAGCGGGGCATTCATCTACCTGACAGGGTCTCCCAAGCTGAGAAAGAGTCCGGCATTCCATTAGGAAGCCTCGCTAAGAGTAAACCAATAACAGGATCCACCACCATGCTGCTATCAAAGTCGCATGGTGGCAAATCTCCCTCTGATCCACACGACTGCCTGTTGTGGTCAACACCTGGGGCATACTTTGGCCAAACCGACCTCGGGATTTCAGGGAACCACTATGGCTTAACCAGCAAATTTTCGAAAAATGAAGATTATGCCGAGCCCGCACAACTAGTGAGGACAAGCCATTCAAGTATCAAGTATCAAGTATTATAAAAATATAATCAAACGGACAGATGAGAGAGAAAATTCTTAACCGTAGAAGATTATTACGTGATATTGGTATATAGCGGAAATGAATCGGATTTTTGTTAGTGAAGATGGTTACTTCATACCGAAAGGATAGAAATCCTCAAGATAGGTGATGCGTGTGGAGCAGTTCTTAGAGGTGCCCGTGCAATACGCATGAGGTCATTAGTTCAGATTCGAACATTGATTAAATCAACCCCACCATTCCTCAGGAGGTCCGCAAATTGCTACCAGATGTATTTAACCACCTTTACGATCCTCAACGAAATCGGACGCTTGACGCGTTTTTGAAGAATATATTCACACCGAACTCCTTATCTTTTATCCTTTATCGACTGTTCCGTTTCGAGGATCACTATGTCTTTGTTGGTATAATTTCGGTCTTCTACGCAAAATTCCATTGGCTTATATGTTGAGGTTCATCAGTTGACCCTATCGGATCAGACCATTCAGACCGTTGAGGTGTCTACAGACCGCTACCAGTTGCAGTCTCTAGGAATCTCTTCGACGGGTGAGATACGGTCGTTCCACTACGTTGTTAAGAGATTTTTGCTCTTTTTCAGTCAATTTTTCCTAGTTTTCCTATGGAATATGCTTTGCCTGCTCGAACTCAGATGTGTTTTCCACTATTGTCTTTAAGCTGTATCTTTAAGTATTTAAGCTGTTGCATTAGATTTTGAAAAGAAAGCTTCAGTTTGGGTTTAATTTACCATCACCTGGAATTACACCGTTGGCCTATGCGAGGAAACTCAGGCATAAATGGAAGTTGGCCCGCTACTTTTAACTATCTCTTCCGCTGCTCCTCTTCATTGTCACTTTTATCTCCTCTAGCTCCTCTTTTTCCAAATTTTTATTTCCAGCTTTCAATCGCACTTCTCTTCTATCTTGTCTAACGTAAACATTTACTTCCTTTGTCCCCAGAATAGATTTGTACCGGCTCAACTGTGCTAGTATCGGTCACGTCGGGAACTTCCCAAATCGTTCTTTTTGGTGGGCGTGGCCTCTTATTTTATCGAAATGCCCCGCCCACGTTGAAACCCGACATTTCGAACACTGCCCATCGAGCCTTTGTGATTTTTCTCAGTTGTTCTGACATTTATTTTCGTACCTATACAAGGCTTATTTCTGGATTTTTGATCTGCTCTAGTTTCAGGATGCCTCCTCGAGAGGATTCGCCCTATACTACATTAGGAATCGCCAGCAACTCAGATGAGATAACAATAAAGAGGGCGTGAGTACTGCAATTTTGTTCCGCATCTAATTAATTGGTGATTAGCCTGTGATCTTAAGAAACCACGTAAAGAAAACAACTGTTTTGATTTTTGATAAAACCCAGATGGTTGTCGTTTTCAGTGTTTACGTTGTTCGTTCTATGGTGCTAGTTCGTCCTTTCCGCTTGCCCTATCATCGACCTTATTTTACTTAGGAGAAACTATGGCCCTTGCAGCAATCAATTGGAAGTGTTCCTATCACTATGAATAAGAGCGATACTGGTTTTAGAGAGCAAGAGGCTGATTGGAAAGCGATTGTCACCACTCCTTAAGTAGTAATAAATGGACAAGATTCCTTTATTAATGAAGAAACAATTTATATTATTATTTTTGGATCCGAACTCTGTCACATACATGTATTTCCCGCCACATGCTCGCACGTTTTTCACGTAGCTCACTTAAAGCTTCGTCTATTTAACAAAGAAGTAGAAGTGATCCTTGGTATCATACTGTACAACTGAGGGTCCGCACATGTTGAAGAAACTCATCCACGCTGAAGGACATTGAACTTTTAGACATCTTTTAGTCAGTCTTATCGGCTAGGAATAAAATACTATTGCCAGAATCTTAAAATACCTGCTTGTTTTTCGTCTCTTAATTGTAATGATGACGACAACCTTTGACGCGAATCCACTAACCTATCCATCAATCTCAAGACCTCAATGAACCCGGAAAATTAACTCATAACAGTGTGCTGCGGTCGGTGTGGGTGCGTGAAAGGAGACAATCTAAGTATCTAAATGAATAAAAAAAAAGAAGAGCAGTAATCTTATAAGCTCTGCAAAAAAAGAATAGGCAGATAAAAACTGAAAAAAGAACAAAATTTTACTGCAACATTTTGCTTTTCGTTGACCCTTTTCAACCTAGTGAGTGGTGAAAAAGGAACGCAGTAAAGTATGGGTGATCATTCCTAACACTCAAAGTTCTCATTAAACCAAATCCTACTCTCCTCAAGACCCAGAAACTTAGTGAGCTACTTGAATGCGAAGGATAAACACTGGCCAGCCAGTTAAATACTAAAGCATGGGCCAAATCTTCGGTCAATGACTTAGCTAGTATCGAAATAAAACAGGTCTCAATTCTAATGCGACCAGCTGTCTGCATGAAATCCTCCAACATATCTAAGAACTTTATTTTCTATTCTTTTACCTAAAAGTTTTTTTCGAAAACAATTTTTCTTCGTTCGTTAACCGGTGAAAAGTTTCTAATTGTTCGTGTTCTTTGTGCGAAAGGACCACTAACGTTCTCGATTTCATTCATCACCTATTTGTGTACACGAATAGAATAGGGCCACTCATCTTCAGTGTTTGTCGCGACGATATAAATGAGACTGACCGACCAAGTAGGTACTTCTCATAAGTTGTACTTTTAGCGGACAAACCAGGTGCTATATCATTCAGTCAGTCCCTCAATCAGTCGTTGTCGTCCTTAAAAACCATTCTTGAGAGAAAGGAATATGATTGTGGCAACCCGAAGAAAACAGCTGTGCATAGTCTGAGGAAGCCTAAATTCGTGAAATTCAGACGTAACATTGCTAATAACCTTTAAGTAGAGTTAAGCTCTTAGTTTAAAAATGAGAATAAAGACGTTGTACTTCGAAATAAACAAGTCATGTGCCTTAAGACTAGTTTGTGTTTAATCGAACGCAACAACAACGCTTTGTCACTCAGTTTCTGACGAATAAAAAAAATAAAAAAGATAAAACTGTAGGCATTGATCAATCCCTGAGGGATGCGCCATGCATTCGACTTCATTAAGCATCATTTGGAGGTGGTTGAATGCATATCTGGCCTTTACAATGACTCGTGGTGGCCTACTGATGTATCGACTCAGTGCTGCTATCCTTCCAGACAAGTCTGGTACCAATATGCCGATCCCTGAGGGATGGAGGGCTTGGTGAGCCATGGACGTGGGGTTGATTCCACGTTTGTATTGCAGGGCTCCTCCGACCACTGCGCCACACGAGCCCTTCAGGTGAATATGTCGTGCAAAAGAAGCTCCGGCTAATGCATCCAGTTATTCTGAAAAAAAGAAAATAAAACTTAAAAAATCGCCAATGTTATACACCACGTTTCAGTTGTAGCTATGCACGGAATTTTCCACTTGATCTGTCGATCACTTCGTTTCATCCAAGCTCCACACCTATCCATTAGGCTTAGATTTATGAAATGCATCATTTTAATGACAAAGAAGACCTACTGATTATCCAAATTTTTTTTTGGAATAGTGTTTCTCAGAACTTGCAGATTGTCCAGATTTTTTTTAGGTTGTTTCAAATTAATCTACATCTGTAGATAACTCTGCACTCTTGCTAATGCGCAGTTCTTTTAACGAGTAGTTAGCCTTTAAAGAAGCTAGGCTTCAAGAACCTGTTCTTAGATCATGCCAGAAAGGTTTTCTTCTACGTACTATTGACTTATTTAGGGTCTTTATTTGCTATCGATTATTATTCGCCAAGAGCGTTTGTGGCGCACTAGTCGCAGGTGCCGTGTAACACACACCTGGAACCGATCCCCTCACCCATGGCCCACCAAGCCTTCCATCCCTTCGGGGTCGGCAAATTGGTACCAGATTTGTCTGGGAGGACAGTATCAATGGCTCGAAACATCATCGGCGGGCTACCGCGCGTCATTGTAAAAGCCAGATATGCATTCAACCACCTCAAACAATGCTTAATGAAGTCGAGTGAGTGCATGGCGTATCCCTCAGGGATAGATCAACGCCGAGAGCTTTATCCTTTATTTATTGTTTACCCTAATCAGTGCCACTCGGAAACCCATAGAAGACAGTTGCGCACTCGAAAGTATTCCTACATCAAAGCTTTCAATTATGCTAATATTGGGCACAATAGTAGCTTTCTTGCTAACCAACTACCGAAAGTGGCTCATACTAGTTGAAAAGCCTTCCGGATCTTGTCGAATAGTTTGTGCCAGTGCTGCATTTTTAGAAGAATGAAAATAGCGGCGAAATCACAGTTTTGAAGATAAGCGTAGTGCTTCCTTCTATTTCTTAGTAGCCGCTCGAGAAAATGGTAATTGGATAGCTGACTGTAAAAACTGAACAACTCGCATCGTCACGACTTTCTCAAGTGTCTCTTTGAAACGATGAATTGACGAAGTGATCAACACGAAGTGATCAACACCACCACACCAGAAGTTTCTAGCAAGTATATTATTTTCAGAAAGAGCTTGAAATACCAAGGTTACCAATAGAAAGCTTGAAACCAATGCCAGGTCCACCACCGTCTTGGTATCAAATTAGTCGCTTGGTGGCAAATTTCCCTCTGATCCACAAGGGCCGCGACTGCCTGGTGTGGTGACGAGTTGGAGCAGACTTTGGCTAGGCTGATCTCGGGACTCCAGGGAATCACAAGGGCTAAACCAGACAAACTCCGAAAAGGGAAGATTGTTTTGGAGCCCGCAAAATAGTGAGGACGGGCCGTCCAAGTGTCCAAGTGTTTGAAAGCAATGGTAGGACGGGCCGTCCAAGTGTCCAAGTGTTTGAAAGCAATGGTCAATGATGGCATTGTCAGTGCGGTCTACTTCACAGGAGTTGTGCTCATTATTTAGTAGAGCTCTTTCGCCTGTATTGATTTTCATCTGGTCTCCTCTTCACTGAATGATTTCATTTTTCGGCCAAAATTGATTTCGTTTTTGATTTTTATTTTACAGCGATCTAGAAAATGTTGGAAGTCTGATTTGCACGTGAAAAGTCCTATGGGCGAGTGATTTATTATCTATATGAGAATTAGAGTTCGACTAAATCACGAATGAGAATGTGACCTGGGGATTCGAAACGCTGTCTTCACCGGTTGTGCGGGTTCCAGCATAATTCCCATTGTTTCGGAGTTTTGCTGGTTCAGCCATTGCGGTTCCCTGTAGCATGAATGTCAGCCAGGCCAAAGTGTGCTCCAGGTCATCATCACCACTGGCCGCCGCCGCCCTTCTAGATCAGAGGAAGATTTGCCACCATGTCACTAGTTTGATACCAGGACTATGGTAGATCTTGGTATTAGTTTACTCTTAGCTGTGCTTGTTGATACAAACGCCGGGCTCCTTCTCAGCTGGTGAGACCCTGGATGAGACGAATCTCCCCACTGTACATCGCAGCCCGACACCCAGGAGCACCTTCCAGCCACGATGAAGCTGTAAGCCGTTGGGAAGATATGTAATCGATTATTGATGAAAAATTAAGAAATTAAGTTTATGGGAAACAATCTGTCCTTAGACATACTGTGTTCTACTTTTGGAAGGTACTCTTCAAATCCCGTGGTTTTTCTTTTTCCTAAGAGTTCTTTAAATAATCAAATTGCAAATTCTGTGTCACCGTAACAGTCAACGTTCTGTTAGCAATGAAGTGGGTTCCTAGTCTTTTGCCGAAATACTGGTTTTTTAAAAAAAAAAAGAACATTGCTCATTGTTAATGTACAAAGCTCCAAATATTTTTGTGATCCACCATGCGGGCTTTTGTTGCCTTGTTTATTGATTTTTTGAGGGTGTAAATCACTCGCCCATAGGAGATCGATGTGTTACTTATGGCCTGTTACTGTGCACGTGAAGTCTACTGGGTAGATCGCTTTTTCGCTTTTCGCGTATTGTTCTATCCTCCAGTACATTCCAATCTTGGAAATATTCATTGCTCATTTTTTTTCCGACCATTCGGTTATTTAAATGTGTTCCGAATCGATACAAGTAGTCTGCAATGAACAAACAGCGCATTACCGTTTCCTACCAGGTCGAAGAAATTTAATCTAATAAACTTCTGATAATGTTAGCTTTTCATTTACTGCTTGCTATAATTTTTCATGGCAGCGTATTACGTCTGAAACAACCACAATGGTGCTGAGATATTTGCAAAACTCCGGACCGGAGGTGTCTGCGGTGGGGAACTAACGCGATATTACCCCTTCCGGGGACTAACGAGTTCACCACCACACCACGCGAGTCCTTCGTTTCGCCTGTCTCTCAGCTAGCTTTCTATCGATTAGTGCTATCAGCAATCATCCGTGAACGGGAACGATCTGGACATGCTTCTGATAGTTTTATAAGATAGTTTCGAATAGCTCGAATACTTTTTGAATGGGTCAGGGCTGTTTTTCAATAACTGAAAATAATCGTTGCATATCGAGAATTTTGATGTATGCGAGGTTTTTGTCAGTTGTTTAACGTACTTAAATATTCAACTACCGTCACTAAGTCCAACGAACGAGCAAACGATCTCCGAATAATTTACTGATAGAGATCGAAGTCCACAAAGATAGTGACGACCAGTTTTAATATCCCAATCCTTAACATTCAACCGAACACAGGCTGGCAACTGGTTAAATACGTCATGCTGCTGGCGGCGAAGCGTTACACGTTCCGATTCGCAAAAGTCGAACGAGCCGGATTTGGGTCGAGTTTGTTTGATTTGTAACAAGACGGTGGTCAACAAATTAGCAAAATCGATATTGTGTTGAGTTAGTAAGTAGGACTGGTTCGAGCCTAGAACAACGGCCTAGTTAGACGTCGGCTACCTTCGACTTTTCGTGATGAAACGCTTTCCAGCTCGTGTCAGACCGAATTAAGACAGCTTTAGTCTTCGCGTAGTAAATCTCAGCAAAAGTTTATTCATTAGTTTAGTAGTTCTTATAGTGCTCTGGTTTACAAGTTGATAGTGGCTTGGTCTGTCAAGAACAAATGTAACTAAGCTTCAGCGATTGTGTTACGGAGACCGGTATGTGGTTCAGGTTTGCTGTAATGGTTGTGATAATTCGGTTCTCGTCTCCGGCCCTCTTAGACCAAAGCCGATTCATCGCTATCGCAAGCGTTGTCTTCAAATCCATCTACACACAAGACTCGTACATAATCCCCGCAGTGTGTGTGTTTGGTTGTAGAGTTGAACGAATCAATCACGCAATCCGGTTTCGGTTTCGTCTGAGAATGAACATCTTCACCATCAGCTGGTCAACTTCGGAATAATGATTGAGCCTGGCCATCGGAATCATACGAGAGGGTGAAGTCAAATTCTAAAAAGGGAAGATGAAAACAACTGTGGTGGCTTTTGAGCCATATTTAAACCTCTTTGTGATCTTCACTTTTACCATTTGCGACAATATTTCAAGTCTGTAATGTTTTCTCATCAGCAGCTTTACATTTCAACACGTCATTCGTCTTGGAAAAGGCCTATAGGTGTAGTTCGGGATAACTTCACGCCATAGACACTACAAAGTTCGAACTTTTTGCACTTGTTTGCTGCATATCAACTGCGGAACAAAACGAACTAGTTGGAGGCGAACCACACCCTATCGCAGTCGAACACGGATTGGTCACACCCAGTCAAAGATAGAACGAGAGGGAGAGAGGACGGGAATGTAGTCGGGTCTTTGGTTATGGCCAAACATAAGTTTTGCCTAGTTTTTCTTTCCATTATAAACCGAGAGTGTTTCTTCTAGTGTTGGTTATTACAAAGCGTAATACGATTTGGCTGTAAATCCTCCGGAGATCCGTGCTTATCGTTCTCGATAACGATAATATTTCCCGATCAGTTCTTAGGTCAGTCATACTACGCGTTGCTGTAGAACGTATGCATCGTAGTGTTGTCCTTTCTTCCCTCTCACGTTGAAGAGGAAACGTGTTTCCCGTTCATATTGATGAGAAGTTGCAATGGATTCGGTGTTCTTATGACATCGGGTTTTCCACTTGACAACATCAAAAACGACAATGTTGCGTTCGTCTTTTGAAGTGTTGTTGGAATTTTTCCCATTCCTTCTATGGAAAGTCTGCAAGCATTTTAGTTCGACTGACCTTGTGATGAATGTTTTAAAGAGAGATCTTGCTTTTTCATTTCCTTCATCGGTCATTTAGTAGTCCTTGCAAAAATTGATTTATTTCGATTTTTGGTTGTATTTGCATTGAGAGATCTCTACAGTACTGTATTTTTTTTGGGTATAATGCCAAAAAAAAAATGCAAAAATTCGTCCTACAATGATTATTAGTTCTCAGTTTCTATGGTAACGCAAAGATGTGACACACTGGTGAGAACACTAAGCAAGAAATCCTTTCCTTAGGACGGGCTTCTGACGGTTCTATCTGTTCGTGGTGAGAAGGACAACGTGTTTGGAGTTATGTGAAATCTGGAAAGTAGGTCAGAGGGCAAACCACTTGTCCTTGAACGGTCCCATGATGCCGCTGACACGACGGCCGTCGCGCATAGAGCGCTTACTCAAGCCATTCGGTCAAGGCTTGTCTCCCGTTGTTCTCAAACAGGATACCACTTCTGAAACCAAGTCAATGATTTTGAGTTTTAGAAACAATGTACAGAGTATATTTTCCATAGTGTATATAAGATTTGGCTTTGGTATTCATGATTCCTTCAAATATCCTAGTAACTGATTTTCATCAAACATCAGGAAGAATAAGCAATAATTTTCTATATAATTGAGCTGACACGAGATTGATATAAAAGCTTTTATTTGGTTAACGTTTCGCCGCTTTCACCTTCTTGAGAGCCACGTTAATCCAAGTCGGTAGTCCCAAACTGCTCGTTGTGGCGACCTAGGTCTTCGTAGTAACCTTTGAAATAGTTCTTGTGAGCGAATAGCAGAATTTGTTTCCATTTCTTGAGATAATTCAAGACCGATTAGGTAATGGATTATATTTATTTCCATTGACAGTCTTAATTATGTCTGGTCACTGAAGCGGTTTCTGATATTATGAGATTCTCTACGCTTCCTGCACGGTGGTCGTGGAAGACTGCTTCACGAAAGTCTGACTCAGTCACGGATCATGGCCACGACCGGACCACTACCACTCACCAAAACATGAGATTCTAGAAGGATCAAGTTGTCGTTGCTGACCTAGTAATGTGATGAAGCACTGGTTTTTCATGAATAGAATACTTTGCACAGGTGAGATTTTTCTGAAAACTTGGATTTTGTTCGAGTTATTCGACAGGGACTTTTAAAGACTGACCGAAAATGTTCATAGAATCAACAATATGTATTTGCAACGGAACACTTAGCACACTGGCTCAAAAGGTAAAGAAAAAAGCGCTCGGCATTGATCAATACCTAGGGATACGACATGCATTCGACATTATTAAGCATCGTAGAGGTGACATGATTCATATTTAGCTAATATAATGACTTGCAAGGACCTATCGATCTGTAACCTCAGTGTTTTCCATTCTTAAAGACAAGCCGGCTACTAACATTCAAACCCGCGAAGGAAAGTGGGCACCGAACTAGGAACCATTTTGTATTGAACATTACTTCTAATCACTACGCTACGCGCTCTCTCTTAGCATATATGTGTAGAACCATGAGGCTGTGACACAACTGCATGAAGTTTGTTGGAGTTCAGTATTTGTATATTTACATTGGCATACTAAGGATCTTGCTTCGTTTAATGTTCACCGTCAATATTTTTATGGACAACCGGATTTTCTGCGGACTTTTGATTCATCAAAGGACCGACTTCCATGTTTTTTATCCAAATTTCTATTAAAAAACAAAATTTTTTTAAGATATTGTTTCCAGGTATCGAAAACTAGCGTTGAAATGGCATCCAGACAAACATACGGAGGCAAAGGACAAATTGTTGGCCGAGAAGCAATTCAAAAAAATCGCACAAGCGTACGAGATTCTTTCGGACGGTTAGTCAGGGCTTGTATTCATCTGATAGCAAATGTTCGTCAGGTATCAGCTATGTTGACTGTGAGCATCACCTTGATGACAACGCATATTGCCATTACTCATTCCTCAATGAATTGCGGTTTATGTTTGACACTAGTATAATATTTCTGAACCATAGAGTCATTTTTGTTGTACGCCGGTCTCGAAACTTTGCCTACCGGTGCGAGTGCAGAAGCAAATTCCGTTTTTGCTAAGGATTACTACGTACTCTTTTGGCAAATATTTGCTGAAGTGATGAGAGCCACTAATTCATCGGCAGAAAGTGGATTTTCTTGCCAACTGAAACCACTTCTCTTAGGGAATCCGTAAGCAGCGGCATCAGGACAGGCAGAGTAAAGAATCTATCCTCTGAATCTCTGGGCAAATCGAACACCGCTTTGGACCCGTATTTAGCTCTCTGTGCATCAGCTGTGGCGCACCGCATGGACTGTCAACCAACCCACTCGAGATCCGTTAAATAGGAAGGATTCGTTGGATATCTCTAGATATAACTAAAAGGCCTAATTTTGTTATAGTTAGAGCAGAAGATGACCATATATCATTCGCGTCACACCAATGTTTTTTCGTCGGGAGCTGAACAGCACGATATCGCCAACAATCCGTAGAAAAACAAGTTCACTGCATTGTCGTAGCTTTGGGCCGCTAGTGAGGGGGTCTTATCCTGGGTGCTGATGAGAGTTTCGGGATCTCCTTAGGTTCTAGATGCCTTGTCTATTCACAGTTTTCCTTGAAAATTTCGTGAATAGATCACGATGAGAACTGTAAAACAATATCACGTTGCTTAGATGATTTTTGCCACAATGCAGCTAACACACTATGCTTTGGACTTACGATTTCGAAGTCATTTTTGAATTCTCCTTCTTGGAAACATCTGTAAAGCAGATGTGAGGAGGATAAGCAACACTGACAGCTGGCCTATTTACGAGTGCAGCTGGCTGGTGCCTCTAGTTGTGGGTGGGACGCGACTACTACTGCCATTACAAATTGGGAATGCTTGTCTAAGGGGTTCTTAAGCAAATTTAGGAATTGTTTTACTGTTTAGAGCTTTAGTCGCGCTATACATGGAGCACAGGGAAGTATTAGTGGTGTTTATTGGCAAAAAGGCGCATTTACAAATAGAAATACAATAATTATTGCCATTACTTATCATGCCTGGGGCCTATTTGTAGCACATCGTCTTCGAGCGTTTGATGAAAACTTGAAATACGAAAACTTCCTGAAATAATTGTTTACTTCTATGTACAATAGGAAGTGGAAGAGAACGCTATCAGTGACAATACACCGCCCTCTTTGTAGAATTTCGCGTTGGATCCGTTGAATTGAATGATATAAAATTCCCAATCAACAATGATGTTTACATAGATTACATAAGCAAACAAACCAGCACAACTTCAAAGTCTACACGTAACAACGAAAAACAGAACAGCACATAGAACTTGTTACTTAAGGGAATTGAGAAATTCCCCGCCCGTCAGAGATTTTTTTCTTGTTGTAAGAAAAATAGAAATGACTGAAACTTACATTAACTCCTAGTTGTTGAACTCCTGATCCATTTCTTAAGGTTCTTTTGAAAAGGTTAGAGGAAAAAACATTGAAAAAATTGTCATGAAGATTTGTTTATCAATGAAGAAAGGAAGGGATGGTAAAATAGCTGATTATCAGTGTTTAGCCAAAAAACGAGAGGAATTCGATCGATCCGAGAACACCTCAACATTCCGCTCACGTCGAGGGCGGAAGGGTGACGAATTCCGCTCACCGTTCGACATCTTCCGCGAGTTCTTCGGTGATCGTGATCCATTCCAAGTGAGTGTTACATATCTCTCTAGGAATCTGCTAAGGCATACTGATCCTATGAAAATCTTTCTATTAGTCACTTTACAACCCCCAGAGAAGCAAAACCGAAATTCATAAATAGATGTCGAATATTAGCGACGCATCTCAGAAAACTAGCGAGCAATTGACTAATTTCTATGAACTTCTTCTTTTTTTCCCAGTCACTTTCTCCTGGGAACTTCGTGCTCGTGGCTGACCATGGTTGTCGTACCCATGCGTGAACTTCATCACGTTTTCCGTCGTGGTTCCGTGTGATTTCGGGCGTGTGCCAGTCAGGGACGATTTGTTTTGTCAGATTCCAGTTTTGATGCAGCTGTGATGTTTGTTTTGTTCGGGAAATCCGCACATCGTTTTCCACCGTTGCAGCATGAGCAATAAACAGCAACATGGTATATACGTATCGTATATGGAGGAGGCTTAGCGGATATGAGGGAGTACCGTGTGGAAAACCATCTTTAGTGAGATTTGCTGTTAAAGCTGTATCGATTATCACATAATATCGGACTACTGAGCTCTTCGTTGTGGTTGGCACCAAGATCATAGTCTCAGACGTATATTTAAGCCTACTAACAATATTCAACTCCCTGCTTCTGCTGCGCTCATTTGCCACACACCTTCTGTATTTACGAGACGCATTCATGCACGGGTGTGTGGGTGCGTTCTTGCTTATGCGGACTGTATTCTACGAGTCGATTCGGCCAAAACCCTGCAATCAAGTGACTGGGAACTATATAGGAGGCGGTTAGGAGTCGCCTCCAACAAATAATTTCCACGTCCACTCTGGGAGGGCCTGGCAAGCAACCCGTGAGTATACCCAGCCCCCATGTTCAGAGCCCAGCAAGCTATACGTGGGTATCAAAAATGCTAAACACAGTAAACAAAAAAAAGGCCTCATTCACCTGACCCCGAAAGAGTCCCCAATTTCGCAGCGTTGGTTAGGACGAGTACGGAGAGGCTGTNAAAAAAAAGGCCTCATTCACCTGACCCCGAAAGAGTCCCCAATTTCGCAGCGTTGGTTAGGACGAGTACGGAGAGGCTGTTAAAATCTCAGCGCCAATGGAAGCTGCCTGGATCATGAAGAACTAAGGTGACGATCTGTACCTACAATGCGCGTACACTTGCATCCGAGTTCTCAATAGAAACTTGCTCACGCAAGCAAGAAGGATAAGGCACGATGTCATCGGCTTGGCCGAGATGAGAAGACGCCGGCCTATCAACGCCGTCTATGACAACGGAGAAGAAATGTTCCTCGGATCATGCGACAGTAGAGGAGTCGGCGGCGTCGGCGTTCTCGTCAACACAAGTTTGTCCATGAACATCGATTCATTCGAACAACTTACAACCCGAATCGGACGTTTACGAATAAAAAGACGTAGATCATTTCCACCCTTGTCAATTTTCGTCGTTTACGCGCCGAGAACAAACTATGACGAAGAAGAAGTCGAAGCGTTCTATATGGACTTGGAGAAGTTCCACAGAGAAGACCACACATTCTTCAAGGTTATCATTGGAGATTTCAGCACCAAGATTGGACTAAGAAGAACGTCTGAACAATGTCACATTGGGACCCACGGATTGGAATGGAACGAACTGGGTGAGAAGCCTTCTGAGTTCATCACTACCGACCAAGACAATCCATGGTAACTCGCAATTCCAGAAGCCCACCCTCAACGCGGGACATGGGAGTCTCCCAATGGAGAGTACCAAAACGAAATAGACCACATCATAGTAAACAGAATATTTTGCCTAACCGATGTCACTGTTGTTCCAAAATTCTATACGGGATCAGACCATCGTCTCCTCCGTGAAACTCTATTTCTCGGGAGAAAAAGCCACTAAATTCCATAACCGAAGTCTTCATCAGTCGGCTGTTGGGAAGATGCCGTTGTCCATAACATCGACGAAGAATACGAACGGCTCATTCAACATCTTCACGTTAGCGCTATGAAAGCTCAGAGTTCAAAAGTCACCAAGAGACTCGAGCTGATACAACGGCGTGGAATCGCACCAGCTGCAGGCAACCGCGAAAACGTCCGAACTTGCAGAACAATGAAGACAGGCGATAAGAGACCTTAAAGAGAGAAGAGCAGAAGTAATGGCCAAAGCTGCAGAGACTGGGAAAAGCATTCGCAAAGCCCACCAAAGCTTCGCCAATTACAAGCCCAAAATGATTGCACTCCGGCTCCCAGACGGAACAGTTACAGCGTCCAGAAAGGCAATGGAGAATGTCATTCACGAGTACTACTCGGATCTCTTCGATAGACATGTACACCTTCCGTCATGCGAAATAAAGGAGGATAGATATGTTGTACCACCTGTTCTCCCTTCCGAAATCCGACGAACCATTTCGTCGGTGAAAAGTCGAGCAGCACCAGGTCCGGACAAGATAAGACCAGAGCACCTGAAGAACCTCCCGCCAGTCCTCGTAAACACACTGGTTCGGCTCTTCACATATTACCTGTCTGGATGCAAGGTCCCTACTCAGTGAAAGACCAGCAGGACCGTGTTATTTTTCAAGAAGGGTGGCCTACACGATATCGGCAACTATTGCCCAATCTGATTACTGTCTGTCGTCTACAAACTTTCACTCGAGTCATCCTAAAGAGGATTGACAGAACTTTAGACGAAGGACAGCCATGTGAGCAAGCAGGGTTTCGATGAGGATTTAGTACGATAGACCACATTCACACGGTAACACGGCTTATTGAAGTATCGCGAGAGTACAAAAAACCGCTTTGTCTCACTTTCTTCGATTTACAGAAGGCCTTTGATTCAGTTGAGATGGAAGCAGTCTGGGAAGCCCTTGATAGTCAAGGAGTCCCTGCTCAGTACATAAAGATTCTTCGTGAGCTGTACAAAAATTTCACAGCAAAGATATCACCATTCTACAACGATATTAACATTGACGTCAAAAGAGGGTTCAGGCAAGGCGATAGCGTCTCGCCAAAATTATTTACCGCTACCCTCCAGAACGTCATGAGAACATTGGAATGGGATAATGTTGGAGTGAAAATTGATGGTTGGCAGTTACACCATCCTCGCTTTGCTGATGACATCGTCCTTATAACACCAAACATTAGCCAAGCGGAACGTATGCTTGACGACTTTGATAAAACCTGTGGAAAGATTGGTCTTCGACTAAATCTCACAAAAACGGTGTTCATGAAAAACGGATTGGCTCCACATGTCCCATTCACGCTCAACGGAACGAATATCTATTAATGCTCCAGTCATATCTATCTAGGTCGGGAAATGAATATGATGAACGACCTATCTCCAGAGCTGAGCAGAAGAAAGGGAGCGGCTTGAAGAGCTTACAAGAGCATCGAGGATGTAGTGAAGATAGAGAACAAGGAACATTCTACTCCGTGCCCACCTTTTCGACTCAGCGGTACTTCCTGCCCTAACTTATGCGTCAGAAACTTGATCGCTGCGTCAACAGGATAAAAGGTCACTCAGCATTATCGAACGTGCAGTCGAAGGGACGGTGCAAAGAGTATCCCGTCCCACGCAAGTAAAGCATGGAATCCGAAGCTCCGATCTGCGTCAACGATCAAGAACCAAAGATGCCGTTCTGTACGCCAAACAGTCGGAGATAAAGTGGGCGGGACACGTAATGCGTGTGAATGACAACCGACGGACAAGAGCCGTTCGTGACTGGATTCCTCGGAATGTCAAACGTACTGCAGGAACACCACCGACCTGATTCTCAGAGTTCTTCACAAAGAGCCTTGAAGAAAGATATGATGCTCGACGAGTCCTTAAAGCGAGCAGAACCCACTGGGCTACTCTTGCACGCGACAGTGAAAATGGAAGATTTACTGGCGCCCACTCGAGTCACTCGACGATCAACAGAACTACAGGTGATACAGGTGAATAATATTTAAAAGGGTATACCTAGTATACCCACACTTAAAGATGCCCTTCAATCTACAGAGTCGTTGACTACTTGCGGCGTCCCATGCAAACTGAGACCTTCATTCCCAGGTCTCGACAAGTTGATTCCAGAATCCACTAAGAGCACCGAAAGCACTAATTTGGTACATCGGGAGGATTCCAGTACTGATTGTTTAGGCCGGATATTCAAGATCACCTCTACGATGTCTAATGAAATCGAATGCGTGTCGTTAGTGATTGAACACTATATGTTTCAACCCTTTCATTTCTTCAACATGTAAACAGTTTGAAATTTTCCTAGTTAGAACATCTCTTAATAACTCGAAAGACCGACTTTCTATAAACCTCGGCATAGATAGTTGATATATTTATTAATGTGATCTTATAAACTGATCTTCTAAGCTGACGCGAGGTTGGTGCAGATTTTCGTTGTCGTTGTCGTTGTTTTTGTACCAACCTCGCGTCAGCTTAAGAAGATCAGTTTATAAGAACACATAAATAAATATTTCCTAGTTAGACTTTACAGTTTTTCCATTCCAATAGAAATGAAGCAAGGAGAATTGAAAGCCAATCAAAGACTGCAGCTTATGGAAGAAGAGATAATATGTTTCTAGTTCTTGGCATGCTAGAAGATATCGCTGTTTTCATGCTATTAACAATGCAACGATCTTGGTAGTTTATGATGACTTATTATATACTTTAATAAAAAAGATAAAGTGAAAAACATCTCGACGTTGATCAATCTCTGAGGGATGCGCAATGCATTCGACTTCATTAAGTATCGTTTGGAGGCGATTGAATGCTTATATGGCCTTTACAATGACTCGCACTGGCAGTGGACTACCGATGTATCGACCCAGTGCTGCTATCCTCTTAGACAAGTCTCGCACCAATTTGCCGAGGGAAACAAGGCTTGGTGCGCCATGAGGTCATTAGCCAAGCGGAACGTATGCTTGACGACTTTGATAAAGCCTGTGGAAAGATTGGTCCTTGACTAAATCTCACAAAAACGATGTTCATGAAAAACGGATTGGTTCCACATTCCCCATTCACGCTCAACGGAACGAATATCTATTAATGCTCCAGTTATATCTATTTAGGTCGGGAAATGAATATGATGAACGACCTAGCTCCAGAGCTGAGCAGAAGAAAACGAGCGGCTTGGGGAGCTTTCAAGAGCATCGAGGATGTAGTGAAGAGAACAAAGAACATCCGAATCCGTTCCCACCTTTTCAACTCAACGGTACTTCCTGCCCTAACGTATGCGTCAGAAACCTGGTCGCTGCGTAAATAGAATAAGAGGTCACTCAGCGTTATCGAACGCGCAGTCGAAAGGACGCTGCTAGGAGTATCCCGTCCCACACAAGTAAGACATGGGATCCGAAGCTCCGATCTGTGTCAACGATCAAGAATCAAAGATGCCGTTCTGTACGCCAGACAGTCGAAGATAAGGTGGGCCGGACACGTAAT